TTTGATTTTCTTCTTTCGTCTTTGCTCTGGGCAAGGAGAGACCCATCGTTGCATCTAGATGGGTCTTTGCAAGCTTTTAAAATCCCAGTTGCTACTCACCAAAATAGGATGTAGAACAATATTTTTGTGTATTATGTTATGCCAATTGAGCTTGATGTCCCCTGCCACCATGGTCCCGAGCCCACAGGTCCAACTACTCGCTTCCTCTGGATAGCTGGCTATGGCCAAGAAGCCACCATATTCTTATCCCTTGTCAGCTCTACTATACACCTGGACTGTCTTACAGCTCATGCAAATACACATACAGAAACATTGTCTCCATTTGTTTGGTTTTTAACATTATATTATATATTTGCTTAATGTCACTTTCAATTGTTAGAACATAAGAGCCTTGAGAACTGAGTCTTCTGCTTTGTTCATTATCTCACTGGAATCATACCTGGCACTTACTTGATGTTCAATAATTATATAGTGAATGAATGAATGAATGAATTTGTAGTCCAATGGGAATTCATTTCTGGATACTTTTGCTTTACTGCTAGCTAACATGGTTTTATTTTGGGGACATGCTTCTGACCTATGATTCTTTCATCAGACTTATAGGAAATGGAGCTCAGAAGGTCGAGGGGGACGAAGAGGCCATGATGCACCCATGATTGCATATGATGCTCTTTTAGGAGCCGGGGATAATTGGACAGAGCTCTGTAACCGAGCCATGTTTCACGGAGGTGCGTTTTTCCTTCTTTAATGGTTTTGAGCTTCCAGGTGGGCTCAAAAATCCCCTTCTCATTCAGAGCTACCCTCCCAGGAGCTCCTAGGGCTGTAGGCACTGAGGAGAGACAGCCTCTGATATCCCCAGAGTATGTTATCTCCATTTCTCGAAACCAGTTCTAAGAGAGGCCACTGACTCCTTAGCTCTTTTACTGGCCCAAGTGTGTGCAGGCACAAATACTATATAGATATCTGGCCAGGTCACAGACCCCCTTGCCTAACGAAGGGCCAACAGCCCATGTCTTCCAGACTGGCACACTGAGTTCAGTGAGGAGAAGGTAGCATTTGGTGTAGTCAGGATGCAGGGGGCTCCTCTCGCTACTGATTCAAAAGAAAGGCAGATTTAACTAGCAGAGCTGACCAGCCGTTCTGTTTTTCTAAGATTACCCATTATTTTATCACTTCACTCTTACAAGCTCTGTGCAAAAAGTTTTCACTTTGGAGTCAGGAAGACCTAGGTTTGAATCCTGGCTCTACCCTTCATGTTAGCTGCATGATCCTCTGAGCCTCTGTCCCTGCATTCGTGAAAAGAAAGAATAATACCCACCTTGCAGGGCTGTTGTGACAGTTCAAGATACAGTGCCTATGAGTTTAACACAACTTTTTTTTTAAAAAAAAGTATGCTCAGTAAATAGCAACTGTTATTATTCCATAAGATTGAATTAATTTGCTTCACTTTGTTATGCACATTTTCTCATGGTAGTGCCTACCTCATAGGACTACTGTGAGCATTAAATAAGATGATGACAAGCAAAATGCTTCAATCTCTGGTTGGCACAGAGTTAAGCTAATTATCAGAGTTTCAATGATTAGAGCCATGTATTATTTTTGATCCCATCCCTCAGCACCAGAAAGACCCTCAGGAGTTCATCTGAAATGCAGCAACCATGTGTGTTTCATGTTTCAGGTGAGACTGCAGCCACTGGAACGATTGCAGGTTGCCTGTTTGGATTGCTTTATGGCCTGAACAGTATCCCCAAAGGCTTGTACCAGGACCTCGAACACAAGGAGAAACTAGAGAACTTGGGTGAAGCTCTTTACCGCCTGTCCACAGAAGAAAAGTAAAGCCGTTTCTGCCATTTTCCCTTTTGGTAGAGACTATGCCAAATTCTGGGGCCCCACTAGTGTTCACTTGCAAGCTAATAGACTTTACTTAGGTAATTTTGTATGTGTGCGATTTTCAGCTGGCAAAGAACCCATGCATAATTGGCCATATTAAAATTTAACTCTTTCCCTCCTGATTTCAGAATCCTAATTTCTATATAAAATACATTGTCCTATGAGAATTGTTTTCCTGATTCTAATCCAAAGCCGGTACATTATTAACATTATATTGAATTTGCTCTACTCGAGCCTCTGAAAACGATGGTTACAAATAATCTCTTGGACAATTGTTGTATTTTATTGTAGTGCAAAACTAATGCTATCTGCTCACTTATATCAACAAAACTAACTACAGTGGCTCTCTTCAGACATGCCTCCTCTATGTGTAAAAGCCTTGTGTTCCTGTATTTTTCTACCTTGACATGTATCTTGACAACTAGCCAACCTGTTGCCTCCTCATTCATTCATTAATGATCTTTCGGTCTCTTATTGGCAGAACGGTATATTTGTACTGCAGATGTTTCTACAACAACAAAAAAAGAAAGCAATATTGAGTGCACTCAAGATGTAGCCAACATAACACTGTGTCTAACCTCCCTACGTTTTTAATCACACTAGATCTTTAAAACACTAGATCTTTGGAACCACTTACTGAGGAAACCAGGAAATAAATGATTGTCATGCCCGTCACAAGCATGCTTCCTCTCTTTGGTCTGGATTTGTCACATAATAGTGGGTCAGTGTCCAAACTGCAGAGAAGATTTTTAACCTGCCGCATCCCTGCTCCATCTAAGCTCACTCACTGCTAAGGAAACAGTTGTTCCCGCGGCTGAGAGCTCGCTCGCTCTCTCTCTGAGAGTCTTGAAAAACAGAACAGTTGCTCTTGTTGTTAAAAATAACTTAACTTTGAACAAGTTTTTTAAAAAGTGGCATCTGGTGTGAATAAAACAAGCAGTTGATTGATGTTTTTAACACTATGCTTTGGCAGCTTGGCTAGAGGCTACCTTGTTTATTGTAATGTACTTTTTATTTAAGAGTTTACCTTGGAATATAGCCAGGTGTGGTCCACAGAACATACCATAAGTTGCCAGTTCACAGGGAGACTCCATGTAGAAATAGTATTCCTGCAGCAGTACCTCTGTGGAGGAGGTGAGACAAAGACGGAAAGAATTGATTTGCTTGAATATGGGACAGCATCCAAAAAGCAAAATTCTACCTTGCTGAATTTTGTTTTCTTTCTTTTATAGGATTGTCTAGATAGGGAACCTGGTTTATGTCTCTATCTTCTCGCTTGAGAATTTTCTGTAAGTAGACAGCTAGATAAGATTGCTAGAATTTCAACCTTGTGTCCTGTGGCTACATAGGGAAGGATTACAAAGAGCCAGGCACAGAGAAGTACTGAATTGAAGTTTCCTAAAATTGCCTTGACTTTATCTTCCTGGAGCCCTCATTTTCTTACTTCCTTTTCTTTGGTAGAAGCTACTACTGAATTTTGTATGAGAAGGAGGAGTGTTCTAGGGTTTGGAAAATGGGAATATTTGTTTTTTTTAATAGAGTATATCACTTTTCGTTTCTTAGAAAGTGTAAAGGCTCCTTAAGTCTTCAATCTATGTTCGTGAAAGAATCTGTGGACCATTATACATTAAGTAGTTGTAGCAAAGAGTTTAACATGTTACATTTTTTAAGAATTTAACTAATGTTTGCTCCTACTGTGCTTTTCAACCCCAAAGGACCAGAAAGAAAGGCAAATGTAGGAAAAAGGCTTTCAAACTATTCTAGTTTTATTCTGCATAGTCAGTAGCCAAACCCAGATTTGTAGGAATGGAGAAATTTAACTGAGAATTCCCTTTCAGGAAAAGAAATCTAATTCAGGTAAGTTGGAATTCTTTGTAACATATCACATTTCACCAGCTTACCCTAAAAGCCTGCCCCTTCTCTTTTCACCTCTACATAAGAGAAGGCTGGCCTCAGAGTGTCAGGAGCAATTGAATTCGAATGAGGGCTTACTTATCCTCTATTTTATTGACAATTTACAGGAATTAAATCCATTCTTAACAATAAGAACTGTATTCTACTTATAAATTAAAACACATTTTTTGAAAAAGCCCATTGCCATTGAGTCGATTCTGACTTATGGTAACCCCATGTGTTACAAAGAACTGATCCACAGGTTCTTCTTGGCTGTAATCTTTACAGAAGCTAATTGCCAAACCCTTCTTGTGCAGTACTACTGGGTGGGTTTGAACTGCCAAACTTGAGGTGAAAGCACAAATGGTTTGTACCACCCAGAGATCTTTAAGATATATCAACTACATTGAAATGCATAAGCAGAGTAAAATAAAAGTGAAACCATTCCCTAGTTTTATTTTCCTATGAAAGAGAAAAACAGAAGTTGAAAAGAAAAACAAAACCATAAAAGAGATTGTTCCTACTGTAATTTTTAAAAATATTTAATACTCACTGATTTATTTTTATTATAAAAATAATATATGCACACGTATTCAGGAATTCAAAGACCATAAAATGATGCAATCTACTTCCATAGTGATACCGCCTGGGAAAACCAAGGAGGGTTTGCTATGAGTCGGGTCCAACTCCACGGCACATAACAACAACAACAAAATGATGAAATGTGGAAAGCAAAATTCTTCTAATTCTCAGTCAGATGACATTGCCAGTCCCCAAAAATTTTCTGTGCACATGCAATGAAGGGTACGTGTACGTGTGTTTGTGTGTATTACATATTTGTATTTGTATATTTGTGTTTTATACACACACATACAATTTCTTTCCACAAGTTGGAATTGCATTATGTATGTTGTTGTTGTTATGTGCCATCAAGTCAGACCTGACTCATAGCGACCCCTCCTTGGGTTTCCCAGACGGTATCACTAGGGAAGTAGATTGCCCAACCTTCCTTCCGAGGAGAGGCTGGTGGGTTTGAACCGCCAGCCTTCTGGTTAGCAGTCAAGTGCCTTAGGCACTACGCTACCAGAGCTCCCACATTATATATAGTGGTTTCCTTTTTGTTTTTTTTCACTCAATTAATTTTTTTGATATTTTTCCTATATCACCACATGTATATCTACTTCAGTCTTTTTAACTCTTGTCTAGTTTTCCATTGTACAGACATGTTATAAATCATATGGTCAAACCCATATTGTTAGAGCTTTAGGTTGTTTCCATTTTTAAATGGTATTTTAAAATATGTGTTCTTTATATTTAATTCAAAATGCTGCTTCCCCCTCTCTTCTGAAAAGAAAATAAAGCTCAGCCACTCCTCGGAAGGAAGATGGGGCAATCTACTTCCGTAGTGATGCTGCCTCAGAAACCCAAGGAGGGGTTGCTATGAGTCAGGGCCAACTTGACAGCACATAACAACAACAACAACAATGATATAATGATGCCATATTTCATTCTAAGATGTATATATTTTGCATTGAGTATTTCTGAAATTGGGATGCATTGTATGTTTTATTGTATCTCGGTTTAATTGGCAGTGTTTTTTTCTCTGGTATATCTTACAATCAATAGCATTTTCGAGTTAAGGAAATATGGACTTTTAGATAAGGTTCTTCTCCAAGAACCTTAAAGTTAAACATCCTGTATGAATCCACAACATCTATGAAACAGCAGCTGCCTTTGTTCTTACTCCCATTCGACAAACAAGGAAGATTAAAAAGGTAGGTGCAGGTTCAGAGATATAACCTACTATACTGGTGTTTTCCTCCTACATCTGCAGACAGGCATCTCTATACTAATGGTCTAATTTCTGGAACAGGACATGAGGATCTGATGTCTGAACCTGGAACTTGCGATGAATAGCTGTGGTCATTGGTGAGAAATATTGTGCCTCAGTAAGAAAGATTTGGAACCACTTGTGTTTTCATAAAAGCATAAGGACTTCTATCCTCTCTGGCTCCTGCTCTAAGGCCATTGAGAATATTCTAATATTCTCACATGCTCCAAAGGGCACAAAATTTAGAAGTCAAATTTTCAGACTATATGCAGTGCGTACAGTGCTTCTAAGTAAGGTAACTCAGAAAAGATACGAGTTTTTAGACTTCAGGTTGATTTAGATTAATCCTTTTCCCAAACTCTTTGGTTGAGAGATTTTGCATTTATATTTCAAATAATTTTGTTTAATTTTTTCATATCTAAAAGTCAGATAATAGGTTAGTGTGGCAGATATTGTCATTACTGGTGACAGAGGAAACTAAGACCCAGGAAGGTAAGTAACTTAGCAAGATAAGTCCACTCTAGGTGAGCTAGATTTAGTGGGACGTAGCAGTATTTTGGTGGCCCAACGGAAATCATACTTAAATTACAGAACTGAGTTAATATCCAGGTTTCCTAACCCCTAATATAGCTGATAATGATAATATTAACACCCATTTATCAACTGTTCACTATATGCAGTATGATATTTTCCTTAATCTTATTCTTCCCTCTAAGGTAGATAATATTTATTGCACCCATTTTGTAGCTAGGAAAACTAAGATTCAGTAGGCTTGAGTATCTCACCCAAACTCAAGCAGCTAGTAAATAGCAAAGTTGGAATTTAAACCTAGATCTAGCTGACAACCAGACTCATGCTTCTTACCCTTTAGCCTACACTGTCTTCCTAATTCAGTGAGCTCTTCACAACAGTCTGTGAATTCTATTAACAAAATCCCTTAGTAAAATTTGTAACTACATGTGCTAGGAGCAATAACAGAACTGACAATGATAAATGCCAACCATCTTGATTATGAATTGAAAAGTAACACCAGGAATGAGCATCAGTTTGTACACAATGCCATACTGCTAGGGATTCCTCTTTATTAAAGAAAATGAAAGGTGCAAGTGTGACTAGGAATTCACTTTAATTCAACAAATGCTATTTAAGTGCTTAACACTGTCCTAAATGTTAGGTCTGACTGGACGGCAAATAACAACAACAACAACAACAAATGTTAAGT